TTCTGTATGAAAAAAACATTGGTGTTGGTAGATAAGGGGCCACCATTTGAGATATCGAAACGAATGCTATAAGGGGTAGAGCCCATGGACAACGCACACGTAACCGCAACTTTTCTAACTAAACAGATTAAATACTGTACCTTAATGTTTAAACGTGTTCTAACTTATACTAAAAAAGGTTGGAGTCTTTTTTAAACTAGTAAAATGAAACATTGACTAATAGTCACGTTAAGCCAAAATCTATATTTGACCAAATATTTTCTTATGATAGTTCGTGTTATCATAGTTCTATCGTACCTACAAAGGTTGCAGAAAAGGAAATAGATCTCAGCTTTGATTTAATTATTCAACTATCTTAAGTTCCCGAGGTTGTAGAACTCAACGTAAAAACAAGAGAGCATTCTATAGTCGAGTTCCCCGACTAGTAGATACCTCAGTATTACTGTGTAAGTGGAAGTGCGAAAGAGAAATTTAAACATTATCTAGAATATTGGTAGATATTGGGGTAAAAAAGAATAAAATAAAAAAAATAAAAACAAGAGAGAATGCTATAGCCGAGTTCCCCGACTATCAGATACCCGTTACTCAGTTAGTGGAAGTGCGAACGAGAAATTTCAAAATTTTCTGGAAAATCGGTAGAAATTGCGAATTTGCATGCCTAGTCTCAACTTACTAGCTTTTATAGTTCATGAGATCTCGACGTTCATACGAAAGGACAGACAGACGGACATGACCAGATCGACTCAGCTAGGTCGGATCATATACTTTATAGGGTCGGAAAAGGTTACTTCTACCTGTTACATACTTTTCAACTCTTTTACTCTATGAGTAGTGGGTATAAAAATAATAATCTGTTATGATTGTCTGATAATAATGAGTAATATACCAATCAAAAGTTGCTGCACCTGAAGCTAGAGACGTGTATATGTCGCTGACGCTACATTTTGTACGTTTTACGTTTAGTTATATATACTCACAAATTCCTTGTCTACGTTGGTGTTGCTTTCTTCTGGTGGAGGAGCTCCATTGGTGGTGCTGCTGCTGTTAGTACTGCTGGCACAACTACCGCTGGCAGTCTCAAAGAGTGCCTTTGGGTCACCGCCAGAAGCGCGATACCGTTCCACGTCGGACAGCAGGCGTTCTAGATACTCCACATAGAGTGTCTCCTGCTCAAGCTCCTTGCTTAGCTCAATGATGCGCACCTTGTGTCGCTCGAGACTAGCCCGAACATCCTGTTCCCAGGCATCGGAAAGAGAGCTTTGCGGAAATCGCTGCATCCACAGACGTTGAAAGTCATCGAAAACGCTCATGGTGGCCCAAGCTCCTTTTTCGGGTGCTTGCTTTTGTCTTAACCGTTTTCTTTAATAATTCTAAAGATGCTGATGATGATTATTCAGGATGATGACGCGGAGAGGGCGGGTTTGCCTTTTATGTTACAACAAGCACCAGTTGTGCGTTGTCGCCTTTATCCCCTGGAAGAAATTGTTTGAGTTTCGTAAATGTGTCTGTATTTGATTTTTCACGGTTAAAATCTCAAATATCCTCTCATATAAGCAGGCACATACACCACATGAGGCATTTGTGGAAAACTTAGGACTGCTGCTTCCTTGTATGAAGCAACGCATTTTGATTTAAGTATTAAACGAGTATCGACAGTCCGTTAAAATAAGTTAATTTCTCGGACTTTCTTAAAAATATTTAAAGTATTTTATGAACCTCAAATTATTTATTGTACCCTCTTAAAGAGGAAAAGATAGCTAGAGTGCGTATCGCATAAAATATTGGTCGGACCCTACCCTAAACTGCGTTTATTTGTACCCGTTACTCGTAAAGCAAAAAGGGTATACTAGATTCATTGAGCTACCCATATCCCTCGTACTATCTGAAACAGTCGAAGAACTCTAATATACCGTTCTCTCTTGTTTTGGTATAGAAATGTTGGATGTTTTAAATATCCGAAGCATAAACCTTTCGGAGGTTTATTTTAAGAGCATTACAATCCCAATGCATATTTGGTAAATTTTTAGTTCATCAATCCCAATACGTATGTTTTTCAAATGAAAGGACAGCTGAATATTATCTTAGCGGTTTTTAAAAATATTTATAAAAAATATGTTTAAGCAGAAAAAATTTATAGGTTGGAAAATTAAAAATGTAAGATTTAAATTATGAACAGGTTGAAAAGTAGTTAACGCTTCCTAGTTTGGGTTATAATTAAAGCAAAGCTGTTTTAAATTTATAACAATTTGTTGCACTTGCACTTGCTTCATTATTTTATTATTTTGTTTTTTTCTGCTCCCTTGCGTTTTAATATTTTCATGCCTAAATGCCAAAATTTCTGTCTCTTGGATATTTACATATATGTAGTATTGTTTGCAAGCACTGTCACAATGAGTTTAGGAGAATTTCTTAGCTTTTGTTTTTTAGCAAAACTACAACAAAAGCGGAACACACACAAAGTGCACACATCCACAGAAACAGAGAGGGATTCCTTTGATAATTGTTGTATTTGTTTTATGTTTAATTTTTAACCTACTCATTACACTTTTTTCTTCTTTTGTCTTTTCTCTTTCTGGCAACAAAATCAGTGGGCGTAGCAGCCACAAAATTCAATTAACACATGTTTCACTTCAAAAAAAATTGTGCTTCAACACACTCAAAGTTGTCCTTTTGTTTTCTATCTCGTTTTATATAAAATTAAATTCCGCTCAGAACAAATTTGGATACACATAACTATATTTAATTTGCTTTACAGCGAACACACAAATACATTTGCAAATGTGCATCGTAAGCGCGTTTTTGCATTGGTGTGCGCAAAAACTCGGCTTTGCTTTTCATTAAGAATTTCTTGTTTTCTTAGTCGCCACTTACGTTTCATTTTCGACGGTTTTTATTCACCATTCTTACGATCTACTTTCACATTGATTGGACTTTAATAAGTAGACAATACAGAAATATATTCCCAAATTTCCAGCCGAGCCGATTTTACAACGAAATATCGCTTATCGATTGCATGTGGATATTCAAGGTGGACTAGCCACTATCGCTAGTATCGATATGTGCTATGAAAAATACTAAAACACCAGAACATTCATAATTTTAATGGAAAAAACTATTGTTAAATAAACATTATTTTTTTAAGGTTTTCTATCACTAATCCTGAAAGGTTTTGCTTGTATAAATACCAATTTAAGATAAACTCATTGTGATATTAAATACTGATTGACGTTTCCAGATTACATTTAAGCTGATTTTTAAATACCAATTTAAGGGAGCACTAATTTAATTACAATAGAACATTTGGAATACAGAGTAAAAGTTTGCAGAGATCTTTTCAGATTGTTATTGGTAATTTATAAAAATTAGTTTTTCCTTCACGATTTTCTTTTTTCTTTTTAGCCTTGAAAACGTTTCAGATTGACCTTAGGATAGGTTCTCCTGCCAGATGAAATTATACGTTATACAATTAAGTCGCTACTTCTAATTTTTTAGCTTTAATAAATACTTTAGTTTTGTCGGCCTCTTAGTCAGACAAAACTGTCTATTTCTAACGTTTCACAGTTTTTGATATGGATTCTAAACGGCTTACATTAAGCGATGGACTCTTGCCTTATCTTCAATTAAAAACCAGATAACGGGATGAATATATTAAAGCGCCCTATGCCGTGCAATATTCATTTAATTAATAAATTTTTCCCTTGGTATTCTTCTGACTTTTTTGAGCTTCTTCGTCGCTGGAGAAGAAACACTTGGACGAAGGTCCCCGAGCGTTTGAAGTTGTGAGAAACGCCGGTCGTAAGAGCCGATGCGCCAGGAGTCGGTCAATGTCGGCCAACAGGTATGGATTCGTCATCAAGGGTCGCCGCACCAAAAGGAGCTGGATGTGATCATAAGCTGTGGATCAGAATTTATTATTTGTATCTTTTTTGTTGTTTTGAAATGAGTTGGCTTTTTTATTTTTAGCTGGTTCGGCGAGGAAGCTCAATTAGGGATTGGTTTTTTAGGCCGCTGGTGACAGGGTGCCGCAATTGCGAGAATTGTCGTGCCCGGATTACGTCGTTTCCGGAAAAATTAAAGGAGTCGCCGTCCTTGCGCCTCGAAGCTGCGCGTCAAAATGTAAATTCGCGACTGACGAATTTTGGCTAGCAGTAGCAGTTCGCAAAAAGTCCACTTCATCGAGGGAAGACGGTAGCATGGAGACGGAATATTAATTATAGATTGTTAGTTAAGAAACGCGCTGTTGCGCGCCTTTTGGAAACGCAGGTTTGTCGGGATCGTTTACGTTGGTGTGTATAAGTTATTTTATTAAATTTATTTAATTTTAGCCAATTACTTATTTATTGTTTTTGTTTGTAAAAATTTGTCAGCATGCATCCGGGATTTCATTTTGTAAGGATTTTTGTTGTTGCCTGTTGACAATGAGGAGGCTGCCGCGGGCTAAACTTGCGAATTTAATTCAGTAAATTCACATGCGAATGCTGGAAAAATTCAGTTCGCAACTCGTTTATATTGACAAGTGAGGACCATAGCATGGAGACGTCCCTGGAAAATTCAATTATTTAGTGTAAAAAACATGCGCTTGCGCGACTTTAAGGATCCACAGGCTTGTCAGTTCTGTTTGCTTTGTCACATTTAAATTATTTATTTAATTATAAATAATGTAAATAGTGTATACGTAATATAAGCAATATATAAGGTAACACTGTAGCTATCGATAAGATCGGGCACTCGATATATTAATGCATTTCCTTGTTTTTCGATAATTTTGTAATTTTTGGTATTTTTGTGGCTGCGGAAAAAATGACGAATTCAAGAAATGTGAATCGACCATAAATGGGATCAGCAGCTCTGCGCCAAAGGTCCATATTATCGAGTGAGTATCAGAAGAAAGAGACGGCGTTAAAGGGTTTTTTTTTAAATAATTGTAAAAAGCGTTACCTTGTAGACTAACCACACTGTGGCGTTTTTTTTTTTTTTTTTTTTTGTCTTGACTGGTGGACAAACGGGGGCAGAACGTAGTCTGCCACACACCTCCACAATTTATTTTTCCTTTGATTACTTGAATATCAATATTTAGGTACAATTAATTACATTTTTAAGGTTTAACATGAATGGGGGTGAGTTTTAGACAGAGTTATGTTAAAAGTATTTCAACAGTATTGCTTTGATTTGTTTAGTATTTTAAGCGGTTTTGTAGTTATTTAAAACAGTGGCATAGACTGGTAACATTAACATTGTACGGATTGTTTACATTAACAAAATTAACAAAAAAAGACCATTAAATGGATCTCACATTGATTATGATTTTGTTTCAGTTACCTCCGCCAGAAGCAACAAGATGTTTGAGGCCTCAGAAGTCATTGCAGGTGGGTGTTTGGAGTTTTTTATGATCCCGATTTGTAGCCGCTGCAAGATGGATTCATTTGCAACAATTCATATCGGGCGAGCGTTGCAGGTAAGTATAATCGCAGTGGAAATCCCTCGAAGTCGTCAGACTGTGGTGGATTCTACCGCTTCAGCGGTATTTGTTCGTCGTTCATGTGCAATATATTTGAAATTGTAGGGATTTGCCGCCGGTCGTCAGTGAAAGGAATTTGGAGAGGAGTTCCGCGCAGCTGTCTTCTAAATAGATCTTGGAGCCTCTGGCATATTTGGCGGTGGACACTGCCTGCGTTGGGGCAGATGAGTCAACGCTTGAGATTGGAGCTCGGTCGAAGATCCCCGGGCATTGCCAAGAGCGACGCGTCTTGTGGTAGTTGCGCGAGGGGTTGTTGCTCAGGGCCGCAGCGTCGAGTTTGACCATGGAATTGGATACAATAAATAAGTAAGATAATTATTTTATTTGCATATTTTCGTTTATTTTGTTTGATTTGTTTTTTAGGTACAGATAATTTCGGTTTGCTTTGATGGATGCGCTGCTGAGTGAGATTTAATAATCCATTGGAGGATTAAATTAGCCATGCAAAGAGTGCCGGTTGGATTGTTTTAGGTAAGTTGTGCGTTCGTAGTTGTTTCCTGTTGCCCTCTGCGTGATTTTTGTGGTTGTGTTAATTAGTTTACTTCTTTTGCAGACCAGCCGAGAAAATGTGGAATTTGAGGACAAGTTTTTCACCGTTTTAATGGGTCGTCAGTTCAGCGCTAAGGGTCACTACTGGCTCAGGGGCATGTGCAGACGGAGACGGCATTAAAAAATTGTCAATTTTTTTTATTATAAATTGAAAATTTTGCGATTTTGTATTGCGGTTGAGGTGCTCGTCTACCACTCTGCGTTGGAAGTGAATACGGAATATAATTGAGATAAATATTTATGTATTTTATTTTGTTTTGTCTGATTTTGATTTGTATTTCTTTGTTTTTCACGTACTTGATTGCATTTGCTTTGCTATCGCGGATGCGCACTATAGGAGAATAAATATTCTTTTTCAGGGCTAAACTGGCATGGTTAATATCAGGCGAGACTTTTTCTAGGGATTTTCTTCGTTACATTTTTTCGTTTCAATCCTTTCTTCTTTAGCTATAATTTTCCTTGCTTCTTTTTCCTTGTTTTTAATCCGGAGTAGAGTGGGGAGAGTTAGTCTGTGCTCGGATTTCATTTTTGAGATTATTTCCTGTCTCTCTTTATCAGTGTAGTGGTAGAGTGACTTGTAGGTAGGTTCGTTAGGGGGTTTGGACAGGTTTCGTAGCAGGGGCTGCAGATATGTTGCATGTTGGTTGACGTAAATAGATCTGCTTGCTGCTAGCCTTGTGGGCTTGAAGGATCTAAGCAGCAGATCTTTTATAAGTGGGTTTTTATTGGCATAGCGCTGACCGGCTTCATGAAAGACTTCTTCAAAGGATTTGATATTATATTTTTCCCTAATTGTTGTTTGTTTGGTTTATCTGTTTGCATTGGGAATTCTTCTTAAATACTTGTTTTTTAGCGTTTGTACATTTTTTGTTTGGGTAGCAGAGACTAATGACTCCCATATTACTATGGCATAGTGCCAGATAGTGGAGATGACCTGTTTTGTTGGACCTGCGTTGTTTGGAGAGTTTAGCTGCTCTTTGTCCGTCGACAGATAGATGGGTGTATGGGGTTTCTAATTTCTCTTTAAGGGAAAATAATATATGTCTTGTGCCTTCTATTGCGGTGTACATTTTCTTTGCCCATCTGCAGAATATATTTAAGTAGTTTTGGTTGATGTTATCAGCGTTCTTAGTGGGGAGAGAGCGGCTTAAAATAATTGTGTCGTCAGCTTAGGTTGTGAGGATGATGTTCTTAGGGTAGTAGACGGGAATAGATATATTGCGCATGTATCCTTTAAGGATAGGATATGGCATATCCGATGTGTAGAAAGAGTAAAGAACAGGTCCCAGAATGCTGCCTTAGTGCAACCCCGCGCCAATGATCGCAATTCTGGAGAAAGTTTCCTGGTTAACTCTGACAGAGAAGGTTCTATCTAAGAACAAAATTTAATAATAAGAAATAAATTTTTAAATTTGAATGCAGATTTTTAAATAATTTCTCCAGAAACATTTAGAGGTATGCCACTTCAAAATCCGATTAGGATAAGTTGAGGTATGAACTTTAGAACTTCAGCCTTGGAACATTTTTTTTTACTTTTTTTTAATTTCTACAACAAAATACATCAGAAAAATTAAAAAAAAAATGTTGAAAAAATAAAATTCCAAATTTAAATGCAGATTTTTAGAAAATTGCTTCAGAAACATTTAGAGGTATGCCACTTCAAAATCCGATTAAGATAAGTTGAGTTATGTACTTTAGCACTTCAGTCTTGGGACATTTTTAAATTTCTACCTCAGAAAAATTTAAAAAAAAATATGTAAAAAAAATAAATTTTCAAATTTGAATGCAGATTTTTAGAGAATCGCGCCAGAAACATTTAGAGGTATGTCACATCAAAATCCGATTAAAATGGGTTGAGTTATGGACATTAGAACTTCAGTCTTGAGCCATTTTTGAATTTTTACATCATAGGATAAGAAAAATTACAAAAAAAATTTAGAAAAAATAAATTCTAAATTTAAATGCAGATTTTTAGAGAATCGCGCCAGAAACATTTAGAGGTATGTCATATCAAAATCCGATTAAAAAAGGTTGAGTTATGGACATTAGAACTTCAGCCTTGAACCATTTTTGAATTTCTACATCATAACATAAGAAAATTTACAAAAAAAATTTAGAAAAAATAAATTCTAAATTTGAATGCAGATTTTTAGAAAATTGCTACAGAAACATTTAGAGGTATTCCACTTCAAAATCCGATTAGGATAAGTTGAGGTATGAACTTTAGAACTTCAGTCTTGGGACATTTTTAAATTTCTACCTCAGAAAAATTTTAAAAAAAATATGTAAAAAAAATAAATTTTCAAATTTGAATGCAGATTTTTAGAGAATCGCGCCAGAAACATTTAGAGGTATGTCACATCAAAATCCGATTAAAATGGGTTGAGTTATGGACATTAGAACTTCAGCCTTGAGCCATTTTTGAATTTTTACATCATAGGATAAGAAAAATTACAAAAAAAATTTAGAAAAAATAAATTCTAAATTTAAATGCAGATTTTTAGAGAATCGCGCCAGAAACATTTAGAGGTATGTCATATCAAAATCCGATTAAAATAGGTTGAGTTATGGACATTAGAACTTCAGCCTTGAGCCATTTTTGAATTTCTACATCATAACATAAGAAAATTTACAAAAAAAATTTAGAAAAAATAAATTCTAAATTTGAATGCAGATTTTTAGAAAATTGCTACAGAAACATTTAGAGGTATTCCACTTCAAAATCCGATTAGGATAAGTTGAGGTATGAACTTTAGAACTTCAGCCTTGGAAAATTTTTTTTTTTACTTTTTTTAATTTCTACAATAAAATACATCAGAAAAATTACAAAAAAATTTTGAAAAAATAAAATTCCAAATTTAAATGCAGATTTTTAGAAAATTGCTCCAGAAACATTTAGAGGTATGCCACTTCAAAATCCGAGTAAGCTAAGTTGAGTTATTTACTTTAGAACTTCAGTCTTGGGACATTTTTAAATTTCTACCTCAGAAAAATTAAAAAAAAATTTAGAAAAAATAAATTTTCAAATTTGAATGCAGATTTTTAGAGAATCGCGCCAGAAACATTTAGAGGTATGTCACATCAAAATCCGATTAAAATAGGTTGAGTTACGGACATTAGAACTTCAGCCTTGAGCCATTTTTGAATTTTTACATCATAAGATAAGAACAATTACAAAAAAAATGTAGAAAAAATAAATTCTAAATTTAAATGCAGATTTTTAGAGAATCGCGCCAGAAACATTTAGAGGTATGTCACATCAAAATCCGATTAAAATGGGTTAAGTTATGGACATTAGAACTTCAGCCTTGAGCCATTTTTGAATTTTTACATCATAGGATAAGAAAAATTACAAAAAAAATTTAGAAAAAATAAATTCTAAATTTAAATGCAGATTTTTAGAGAATCGCGCCAGAAACATTTAGAGGTATGTCATATCAAAATCCGATTAAAATAGGTTGAGTTATGGACATTAGAACTTCAGCCTTGAGCCATTTTTGAATTTCTACATCATAACATAAGAAAATTTACAAAAAAAATTAAAAAAAAATAAATTCTAAATTTGAATGCAGATTTTTAGAAAATTGCTACAGAAACATTTAGAGGTATTCCACTTCAAAATCCGATTAGGATAAGTTGAGGTATGAACTTTAGAACTTCAGCCTTGGAAAATTTTTTTTTTTACTTTTTTTAATTTCTACAATAAAATACATCAGAAAAATTACAAAAAAATTTTGAAAAAATAAAATTCCAAATTTAAATGCAGATTTTTAGAAAATTGCTCCAGAAACATTTAGAGGTATGCCACTTCAAAATCCGAGTAAGCTAAGTTGAGTTATTTACTTTAGAACTTCAGTCTTGGGACATTTTTAAATTTCTACCTCAGAAAAATTAAAAAAAAATTTAGAAAAAATAAATTTTCAAATTTGAATGCAGATTTTTAGAGAATCGCGCCAGAAACATTTAGAGGTATGTCACATCAAAATCCGATTAAAATAGGTTGAGTTATGGACATTAGAACTTCAGCCTTGAGCCATTTTTGAATTTTTACATCATAAGATAAGAAAAATTACAAAAAAAATTTTGAAAAAATAAAATTCCAAATTTAAATGCAGATTTTTAGAAAATTGCTCCAGAAACATTTAGAGGTATGCCACTTCAAAATCCGAGTAAGATAAGTTGAGTTATTTACTTTAGAACTTCAGTCTTGGGACATTTTTAAATTTCTACATCAGAAGAATTTAGAAAAAATATGTAAAAAAAATAAATTTTCAAATTTGAATGCAGATTTTTAGAGAATCGCGCCAGAAACATTTAGAGGTATGTCACATCAAAATCCGAGTAAAATAGGTTGAGTTATGGACATTAGAACTTCAGCCTTGAGCCATTTTTTAATTTCTACAACATCATAACATGAGAAATTTTACATAAAAAATGTAGAAAAAATAAATTCTAAAATTGAATGCAGATATTTAGAAAATTGCTCCAGAAACATTTAGAGGTATGCCACTTCAAAATCCGATTAGGATAAGTTGAGGAATGAACTTCAGAACTTCAGCCTTGGAACATTTTTTTTTACTTTTTTTAATTTCTACAACAAAATACATCAGAAAAATTACAAAAAAATTTTGAAAAAATAAAATTTCAAATGTAAATGCAGATTTTTAGTAAATTGCTCCAGAAACATTTAGAGGTATGCCACTTCAAAATCCGATTAAGATAAGTTGAGTTATGTACTTTAGAACTTCAGTCTTGGGACATTTTTAAATTTCTACCTCAGAAAAATTAAAAAAAAATTTAGAAAAAATAAATTTTCAAATTTGAATGCAGATTTTTAGAGAATCGCGCCAGAAACATTTAGAGGTATGTCACATCAAAATCCGATTAAAATAGGTTGAGTTATGGACATTAGAACATCAGCCTTGAGCCATTTTTGAATTTTTACATCATAAGATAAGAACAATTACAAAAAAAATGTAGAAAAAATAAATTCTAAATTTAAATGCAGATTTTTAGAGAATTGCGCCAGAAATATTTAGAGGTATGTCATATCAAAATCCGATTAAAATAGGTTGAGTTATGGACATTAGAACTTCAGCCTTGAGCCATTTTTGAATTTCTACAACATCATAACATAAGAAATTTTACAAAAAAAATTTAGAAAAAACAAATTCTAAATTTGAATGCAGATTTTTAGAAAATTGCTACAGAAACATTTAGAGGTATGCCACTTCAAAATCCGATTAGGATA